CCTTCACAACGGTTTCTCCTATTACGGTCCAAGCTACAGGTCGCTCCCCGGCCTTAGCTTGCGGGGGAATATTAGACAATTAAGTGTGATATATATATATATAATTATATTAGAGGGTCTAGAGTGTAAATGTATCTCTTATATATATCCCTGATTGTAATCGATATATACATACATAATTACCAAGTTTATCTGTAACCCCATGTAACATGCTGCACCACATGCAAATTGGACAAAAAAGTTAGGGAAGATGAATGCATGCAACAAGTATAAAATGAAGTTTATAATATCTACAAACCAAGAAGCAAAACAGCTTTGTTTTAACTATTGTACTCCAGATAACTGTTACCTACTAAGCACATATACATCAAGAAAAAAGTAAGTGCCTTTTTTATTAGCAAAGGTTGTCCCAAGAGGATGCCGACATCCCAACAACCCATGCTGAACAGAAAAGAACACGATGAGGGAAGTGGGACGATATTTAGACCTTGGCTGTCACAACAAGCAACCAATCAGTTCCAGTCCCAAGGGCAGGTAAAACAAGGCCTCAATTGAGAGTCAAACCTGGACACAAGACTTGGTTTAAGGCAAATTTTACCACTTAGCTAGGATTTAATGAACTGATGAACATAGGATTAGCATAAAGAATAATATTCCACTTGTACCACTGCGCTACCTATATAATAAACTCTGTATACTCATTGTCCATGAAAGGCTACAAGTTGGACTATATGCTGCTCATGCGTTGCAAGACTAAACCAATAGAAACTCCTACTGGTAGGATAAATAATGTCAAACAAATGCACAAGTTGGGTACGTACAAGCAACCCAGAAATAATCAAGGTTACCAACACAAGGATAATTATGTACAACAAAAGAAAAGCAAATACCCAAGCTAAGGATGCATATGAACTTTTTTGATGACATGCAATGACATTTTCGAAGTGAACTAAAAGGAAATATAGTGTGGTTTAATTGGAAATTCACCAAAATCAGCTAGCTTAAACAGTCACGATAGTCTGTAATTGTAAAAGTAAGAAAACTAGAAAACAACAAGGTCTCTTATTCTTAATCATATAAAACAAGTTTGCAATATCAAAAGTCACAAACATCAGATTGTAGTGTTTGAAATACAACTCTTGTTGGAAAAGAAGCTATAAGTTACTGAAAATCACACGACCAGGCATACATGACACTTGCTACTCTGCGACTACGCAAATTCAACAATAGACCCTGAACAAACCTGTGTTTCCCCACGTGTGAAGAGAGCACTTCCATGTGCTCTAGGAAGTAATCCACATTCCGAGTCAATAATGCGAATATCCTCTGATGTTCTCCCATCGCTTCTTTTCCCTCCCTTAATGAAGAATACAAATATAAGAAGATAGACGATGTGATTATATGAACAAGAATCCAGTTGGTTTGAAATCAACTTCAGAATCAAGCTTAGGTTATTTAATTGGAGAAAGCCCAATCACTAACAACAAATATGGTAACGCTCTTAGAGTACAACCTAATCTACATCAGTAAATGTGTCCTTTCACATTTCAACTAAGTTTTTTTTCAAAATATCTTGGGAGTAAGCTAAAAAAGAAATTTATCTGTTCATGCATAATCAAGAATAATGAAGAAATACCAATATGCATTTAAGGAAGTCAAAAGCAACTAGTTTCATTAAGGATCTTGAGAACTAAGATGACAAGCACTATATCAATTCGAGAGAAGACAGTGTAATTACAACTTAGTATGCACTGTGTGAAGTCCATTGGCCTCTCAGAGTTCAATAATATCAATAAAGTAGACACTATGCCAAAAGCATTAAATATAGAAAGAAAACAAAAATTTTATCAACATGGTGTTAGGATCAGAAATAAGATAATGATGTTCATCCTATCTACATTTCAGTGTATCTCTTAGTAGTAAGTGTCAGCATATGCATACCTCCACTATCCGTTTTCGCAGATATTTTGATGTAACGCTTTTGAAGACCAACTTCACATCTACCTCAGAGTAAAACTACATGGCAAAGAGAAACAATCATTGATGGACTTTCCCAGCCACTCGTACTTCATAAAATCTCAAGAATGTCGTTTAGGTGATAAACTAAAACTAGAAAGGGTAAATAATATAATCTAACAAACGAAAAATAAAAAAGAAATAAATCAGGGGGTATTCAACTTAAAATCATTTTTTTCTAAACTACCAGTAATGTAAATAAACCCGTTGACAGCTTGACTAACAGCAGTAAGAATATGACCCGTTTATCGTATTTAATCATTTAGCAACCTTGGATGTGGATTTATCATTTCAAGATCATATTTCTGATCTTGTCTATTTGAAAATGTATATGATCAAGAATGAGTGGAATGATACCAGTGGAACAGGCTTTTTAGATACTGGCTTTATGTGGATATCGCCTTCGTCAACTTCACCATCGACAACAAATTCCTCCTCCTCATCCTCATCCTCAAACATGTCCGGAGTTATCTCAGCACCAACAAAAACTTCACTTTTGCTGACATAACCCTCCTCAGTAAGTATTGTCAGAACCTTTTCCTCTAGCAAAGAGAGAGCTTTTCTTCTTGGCACTTTGTTTTTGAGTTGTAGCACTTTGACCAACTCATCACCAGCAATTTCCTGCATATGCATTTTTTTATGAGCAGACGAGAAAACATGGAGCAGAAAACAACGAATTTCTTTGGGTGATAAATCAGCAACTTAAGTACTAAAGTAGCTCTTATATAAAATCAACAAAGAAAAGAAGCCGTAAATGATAAAAGCCTAATGTTCAAAGTACAGTAAGAAACTTGATGCAAGCCGTCAACTATAGAAACCATATAAAGATATTTAGAAAGAGCACATACTTCAACATGCTTATACAGCTCAGGTGGAGGTAATTTAATTGAATCAAGCATTTTGGGCTTCCCACACTTCTTTACCAAATTGTCCACCTCTTTGCATATGGCTCGTACAGCATCCTAACACATGAAATAAAAATAGTTGTGGTTACATGCATAGATTTTAAGTGAAAGCTGGCTACTTTCCCTGACAATCGTAAATATCCATCCAAACTGATATAATAGTGTTAGCATTACAGACGATACATTTCATAGCTCTTAATATGCAACCAAATAACGTAAAAGAGAAAGTTTGAGCACCCGTTGCTAAGGAATTTTCAGAGGTAGGAATTAAACTCAAATATTTTCCATATCAATATCTTTGAAACTAAGTTCAGTTTAGCTTCATATTACACAATCCATTAATGATGAAACAGAGATGGGAACATTCCTGTTCGTAGTGCATTGACATATTTTGGCAAGGTTGTGGACTTAATTCTATATGTCTTCAATCGTTCCCTAGTATACTAGTGAAATGCAACTATTTTGAACCAGTGGGCGAGCCAAAAGGGTATAAAAGAGGGCATAACAGGCCTATGAATGCACCACCACCTATAAACCAGTAGAATATAGGACATGGAAAAGGGCCATGGAATGTCGCGTAGTTCCAAGTGTTCTTCTCGGTGGACAAGTGGTTTTGCAAGCATTCATGGCCTTCTTGCTGATCTCAAGCTAGTTTTTTTTACACTAAGTTATGATGAGCACAATAACTAGAAAGAAAAAACATAAGCATCAGCGCCACATTGCAAATGCAACAAACTTTTAAAGCACATGAGCACTATGCCACATACAAATAACAACCTGGCCAACTTCTATCGCTTGAAGTAACTTCTCTTCAGGAAGAAAGTCACAGTAACCCTGCAATTAATAAGTACAGAAACACCAATGAGTAGCTGCAAACTAGTTATCTGTTTAAAACATCAGAATTTGAATAAATGATAACAGTAATTTATTTAGTGTAGCAAACCATCACCAGGCATGCGATAATGATGTATAAATAGCATATCGACGTCCTAGTCTATTGCATAAACATACAAGCAAAATCATATCAGATCATAATTGTTGAACTATCCTTAAGTCGAAGATACAAACATGATAAACCACAGTTGCTGAGAAAAATTATTGTAGGTATGAGACTCAAGGAGACCGTTTTGGCAAAGAAGTTATCAAGTGAACTTGCACTATGTGTGACCACTAGGATGTAGTCACTCCATTGCAGTGCTGGTGGAACATGATAAAGGTTGATTGACATGGTGTTTATGATAGCCACAGGAAACTAGCTTTAACAGTATGTGGAAAGAAGAGAGCAATTATGTAAGTGGTTTGTGCAGCATTAATCTTAAAGGATATACTAGAAGTAGCTCCGGTTTAGTAAAAAGGGTCATGCTCAAAACTATATGCTCTGGCTTAAAGGGAAGTGATGAGCAAGTGTACTGTGAGGCCATTTTAGTCATATAAAGTTAAGACGAGGAAGGTAAAAAGTAGCTCTGACTGTGAACACATTACTTTCCCCTTCCATTCTCTGTTGGCTGCTATTAAAGTATTCAACAAACAAAAGTACCTTAGTTGCTATTTGCTAATGTCTGGGTGTGTGCATATACTGTCAGCTATTACAATAACGGAAGAGCGGTTACAACCTCAATCATCAATATCCCACTTTCTGAGCCTGCTAGCAATAAATCCAATTTTGAATCTTCCATCTCCATGGTTGTTGGATTCACAACAAACTTGTCACCAATTAAACCAATTCTAACTCCTGCTATAGTGTTTGTATTCGGCACTTCTGAGAGAGCTCTGTTTAAATATAATGTGGCACCAACTATAATCAGGTAACAAAAATAAAAATAACCCATGATGCCATCTAAGAGCAACAATGCTTAATTTGTTACTGAATATTACACAGCAATTCCAGCCGCTGTAACAGCCAGAGAATCTGGGGGGTGCAAACCATCATAGCTCAAAACCTGCAAATGAATGGGCTCTATTAAGTATAGTCAACAAATTGAGACACCAAGTTCAAAAAAGGTCAGTTCGAGTCCTCAAAAGATAACAACAATAGGGCTTGATATTAATCAATGAAATGAATATAAAGCATGTTATTCGCATCCACATTATTTAGTTGAAACACAAGGGAAAAAAGAGTGGAATTAATTGAACAGAAAAAGAGATCAACTGTGAATAATAATGTCCCACGTAGCCTTAGGAATAGCAACTTCATATCTTGGGGTGAGATCTCATGGCATGACACACAGGTAAGGTGTTTCCAAAATTCATATTTCAACAAGGCTTTTTAAGAAATGTTTGTACATGGTTTTACTCTAAGTTACTATGGCCTAGCCAATCAGTTTCTTCTATTCTCCTATTTGTGATGGGTTTCATTTTTAGCATAACCCAGCCCGTTTGGGATAAAAGGTTTCTCTTTCTTTGTTTTACCATATCCAACAAACATAAAGTTTTGGATTTAAGATATTCATTTACAACATTTCCACTTTTAAGTTTTTTTTGCTATTCATTTATGTAAAGGAAAAGTATACAGTTACCACACTGGCTCATTTAGGCGGCGAAGGCTACAGGGTAGCAGGCTCATGTGATCAGATTTTCATTCCATTGTTTTGTGTTTTTGACTTTCAGCATATTGCTTTTATGGTTATCCAGATCTTTAAAGGAGAACATACGAAGTCCTATGATTTCATCATATAAAACTAGAAAAGTCAACCAACTAATTTAACAATTAACAGAATGCTTGAAGGAGCATATCCAGTGCGATATACAATAAAACTTTAAATATTTTAGTAGCATCTACAAAAAATTGATTGATGCAACAAGGGAAAGGTCTAAGAAGAATGATACTTGACCAATCAACAAGAACGAAGTCAAAAATATTTGAAAAGTACATACCCAAGATAGTATTTGAGTTTCATGATAGAAGCCCTTGAGCATGGTTGGTCGCAATGGCCTATCAATTAGTCTACATATAAGTACCTGTATTACAGTAATAAATATCATTCAGAACTCTGATATTCATCGACATATGAGATATTGTATCTAAAGTAACTTCATGACAGAGGCTATAAAGTAGTATATACAACCTACAAACTGTTTCAAGAATTTAGTTTCCATGCTCCCTATGATTCACATGAAAATTTTCAAAATAATTGAAAATTGGGTGATAGAATAAGATAGAAGAAAGTTAACCATCACTTGATTGTTCGACATAGTTAACAAAAATGATGTAGAAAGAAAATGTGGTGTATAAGAAACTCAGGATCATGATGATATAGTCAACGTTTTCTCGATTCAAGCTTCCACAATCCTGAGGATGGGAACTCCAACTTCTGTATTAACCTCAAATAGACTCATAAGGACTGAAAGAAACCGAATCTTATCAAGTAAATAAAATAACAACGTTGATGAACATCAAATATAAGACATACGAAATAAATAAAGGGATTAAGAAAAAAGCATAGGCCACTGTAATTACCTCATGATCCTTTGTCCTTCCCTCCCTTTTAAAAAATCCTCCACTGGAAAAGATAAATTAAATATCAAAACTTTTGTGTGCGCAGTGTTACAACATTAATAGTACTTTCAGGCAAAGATAGTAAACTTTTTCATGAAAACAAAAGGCAAAAAAAGGTATGATACTTGCCTAGTTCTACCAGCTGCAGAAAAACGCTCTTGATAATTTACAGACATAGGGAAAAAGTCAGAAGGCTCGCTTGGAACATCAGATAAACAAACAGATGTGTAGATAATCTGCAGAAACAAAATAATCCATTCTTCAGAAATATTGTTATAATAAATTGCATAACGTAGACGAAAAATGAACATACAGATTTACATTTGCAAAGAGGAGATACCGACATATCTAGTGAAGAGAAAATGCTTCAATTCTAATATATAATAAAATCATTGTTGCAAAAGGTTTCTAATCCATTCTTCTGAGGTATTTTCCGCCCCTGCCGAAAAGTGGCAGCATCCCTTATAAAGGAATCAATTTACTCTTCAAAAGGCATTTCGAAAAATTTGTTTTTCCTCCGAAAGTGTGTTCCCTATTGTTTACTAGAATGTATCTAGTGCACCTTCATCTTGTGTCACTTTTTGCAGTGGATAAAATAGACAGACTACAATTGAAAGGTTAGATGTAACTAGATGAGACACATAGAGGCTAGAGCAAATGGCAAATTAAAAAAATATCTGTCACTAAGAATCCAAGGCGTAAACCAAAATGTCATGTAATACTTCACCCAATTTGCATGACATATTTACCCCTCAACTATGCCCTTGGCCCCTTGCAGCTACACCCCGTGATGATATCATTATTGCAGTGAACTCACCTTTCCGCTTAACATCATAACATATTAACATGTGCACAACTTATCGAGCAAAGTTGGTATTGTCCTTTTTTTGTTGTATGGTTGCACCCATGGCAAAGTATGAGCACAACCCTACTAGTGGAAGAAGGGATGCAGTCCTGAGAATCAAAAAAACACAGACCGCAGTTTCCAGGTGTAGCAGTAATAGCAAGCTCAACAATGACCATGATGATCTCATTTGTCCAAGACTCGGACACTTGACTAAATATTTGTATGGGCGAGTAACGTCTTTCCTCTCCCCACGATAGGCTAAATCAGAGAGTGACTAATCATTCTAGGTACCATTTATCGCAATACATCCACAACCCTCCATAAATCCTTAGGCATTTTCTAAGCTTCATTTGAACATGAAAAAACCACATCGAGTAAGACGGATTTGAAATAACTCTTTTAACCAACACTAAAATGTACATATGAAATTTCAACACACCTTCATAAAATCTGCTGCAAGATCTCATCATAAGCAATAACGGATGTAACAGACTTGCATTTTCAAAACGTACATGACCTATCTAGAAAAGGCATTGTTTTTTTCAATCCCATGCAAGGACATGGTAAGAAGCGAACATGAACATATTTGTTTTCAGAAACTTACAGTTTCTCCATCTCTTACAATAACCGATCCACTAGCTTGTCTTCCTATTTGACCAGTCTCCACAGTTATCTGAAAAAGTGTAAACACAAACCACATCAAGTAAGACAGATTTGAAATAACACTGTAATTTTCTAGGACATCTACTAAATGAAAGAGAGCGGTATGGAAAGATAAGAGATGCTTGTAAGCTTTAAGTTAATTATTGTCAACATGATTTATATTGTTAGAGAAATAAAATGATTTTTTAATGGAAGATAAAGGTATGCTTGTAAGCTATAAATCCATTAGCATCACCATGTTTATATTGTTAGGGATAGAAAATCATTTATAATGCTGGACGTTTGACCTCTCAAGAAAGAACAGATACCAAATTATCTTTATTTTTTTACTTTTTGTCTGAATTTCCATTCTTCTTGAGATAAACCCAGAACCAAGTACTTTGTAATATAAATTCATGTAACTTCAATACAAAAAAGTACTGGTAATTCTTGTAGCTGTTGGTCTCAAAGTTACATGAATTTATATTAGTTGCGTATGGTATAAGACATACATTTAAAAGATGTATATATCATCCATTGCATATGGATTTGGTCGAGTAGAATTCTCAGGTGGAAATACACCATCAATTCATTTTATAGATAGTTTTATTGGAAAAAATTAGTGTAAGTAGGTCCATTGTGTGGAGTGGTTTTCCGTATAAAAGGATTGGAACCTAATAATACAATATATCAACTTCGTTTCCGAGGGAATTCAAAATCCTGCGCAATTCAAATGTAACATTTGTATCAGAATCGAAATGCCTGACTTACATATCTATCTCCGACAGGAATTTTGACGGAATGGCGGTTCGGAAAAAACGGTCTTGCTTCTTCTTCTGAGGCTAAGGCACCATCAGACTCACGCTTTAGAGCTCGTATCTTGAAACGATTTGAGGTAATTCTTCTCGATAAAAGAAAAGTAGAGACAGAAGGAGCCGTGTGGGGTTTTGTAAAGGAGGAGTAGGATATAGGTAGTTTGTTGTGTCTACTTCTTGTTGGATGTCCAAGAAGAGAAGAAGGTCGGCCATGGAAGCTACTGCTTGCTAGCATTTCGATAGCAACCAGTATGTGTGTGAGAAAGAGATAGTGGTGGTGGGATGAAGACGATGGCGCCGGAGGAGGAGACTCTTATCCGTTGTTGCTGGCGCGCAGCATTTGCAGAGGAGCAACTTGGCCCGGCCCAACTCAGTTAGCCCGGTTCGTGAGGAGCCCTTTTTCTTGGGTCCTTTAAAAATATTAAAATCCTTAAAAACCCAATATATATGAATATTTCTTTTTTCTTTTCTGAAGAAAAATATATGAATAAAAAATTAGAAAAATGGGTACATTTTTTTTTCAAAATTCTATAATACCTTTAAATTTATATTTTATTTAAAAAATAAAAACATATTCTTTTTTTCAGTATCTTATAAAATCATATTATAACATCGAAATAAAATAAAACGAAACATTAAAATCGAGATGTATCTTGATACATTTTATGAATATCATTCTAGTAAATTTAAAATCTGTGTCATAATATAATAATTAAAAATGCTTTTTGAATTAGCGTACAGATATATTAATAAGCCATGTTTGCTACAACTTTCAAAAATAGAAAAATGGAATTTCTATTTCTTCTGAAAACCTTTTGTTTCGTTTTTCTTGGTAAATAAATACAATGTCTAATTGTCTATGTTGCTTAGAAGAAACGAAAACAATACACAAACATAATGTGTTTTATAAGCTCTTGTTTCCTTTATTCGTGATTTTCAAACGAAACTGATCTATTTCTATTTTATTAAAAAAGACTCATAAAATCATACTTGATAATGTAAAAATTCCAATCAAAAAGGTGTCTGATTGATTTGAACTTGGGCTTCAAAGGTCAAAAATGTCTAGAGGTTCAGGTTCAAATCCAAAGAGAAATAAAAATCCTCTAATAGATATGGAGATTCAAATACGATAACTCCGAACTACCCACGAAGCAGGTGGTCATGCTAAGATTAGTCAACTCGCTGATATCAATTGATTGATTTTTATTCTAATATAAATTTCATTGATATGTATGTTATCAAATAATCTAATAAATAACTTTTAAAAACATTAAATTTATTTTAATATTAAGTTTATAATATGGTTTAATTAAAATTGTTTCTATACCATTCATTTTTGTCCTTACTAAAAACATACACATCCCTTTCATACTCAGGTTTGGCAGCCGATTTTCTTACGCCCAATTTTCTAATTAGACCAAATTGTTCTTCTACCATCTCCATCAAATTTATCTCCTCGTGCCTGCTCGTTTTCGTCAAGGACGTTCCAATCTTTTTAGAGGTCTTGTTATATTTAAAACTTTTGATTATATTGTATAAATAAGATAACAGAGAATATATGTTAAGAACAAAAATAGGATTAACAATCCGAAACTAAACATAAACCATTAATGACTTGAACCTAAAACAAAACAATTAATGGTTTAGACATAAATATTAGGGGGAGGGCCGCACGGGTGTACGCCCAAAGCCCAAAAATATTAGGGGCCCAAATTTTCCACTTAAAATAAAATAGTAGTCTAAAAGAATTTAATAAATTAAAGAAATTCAAACAATTGTAGCATATAATAAGAGGCAAAAAAAATTTAGTAGATAACAAGGGCCCAAAAAACATATCAACTAATTACATTTGAGAATAAAATAAAAGAATTAATTGGTCATTCATGGTATGCTATTGTTTATTGTTTCTTTGATTTTTTTTATCTCCAACAAGGTCCATTAATATTTGTTATTGCTATCTCTATATGCTTGATTGTTTCCGTACTTCAACAATTCAACATTAAGATCATATGTTTGATATTGCTATATATTTTTGTTGGATATTTTTATCAATTTCTACTTCTATTGACTATTGATTTTTGGTTATGTTGTTCTAATTATTTTTGTAGACTATTGTCATCTATTTTTGCTTCTACATAAAATATTTTACTATTGTTTGACAATCAATCTATTATTTTTATAATTTATGACGTGATTCATGGTTTTGTGATTAATCAATAAATTTTTTCTACTAGATGTATTTAGTAATGTCTTTTATATATGTCATATTCAATAAACTTTTAATCTTAACATCTTATTTTAGTTGACCAAAAAAAAATTAAATTAAATATTTTAATCAATTGTTTGACTTATGTATCTTTCATTGGGATCCACCACACCACAAGATTCTATTTAAGTGCTCAAACAATCATTTGTTGAGCTTGTATATTAAATGTTTAATTCATTATTTATTTTTGTTGGATCTCAATGGATCATTTTTTTCATATTCTTATTGATCATTTTTTTCATATTCTTATTGATCTTCATTTTTTTCGTACTTACCGAGGGTCACTACAAGAAAAGTGAGTTTTGACGATGCGCCTTTTAACGATGACATGTTTCCGCCACAAGTTATAGCAACGACTTGTTGTTCTCTACTCTTTCTGATGATAAATGAACTTTTAGCGACGACAAAAATCATTGCTAAAAGTCTTGGTTTTTGCAGTGGACCTTGTTTTTACGTTCGTCCAGAGCTTATAAAATGTCAGAAACGGGCTTGGAGATGGTTATTAGTAATAATTAATCAGCTAAACACGACTGCTAGCCTTTGTGTTGACCTTGGGGCCTGTTGAGATTCTATCTTCCCAACTTTTTTTTTTTATATCCTGAGGTACATTGTTTGTTAACTTTTTGATTCGCGTTGATATGTATGTTCATACAATATTTCTTGCATGTATTAATGACCTTATTAGTTTAATTAAAATTTGTGCGAGTACAATTTTCTACCATCAAATTTTATTACATTACGAAATATATTAATATGCTTATACCAACAACAGGTGGAGGTTCAAATGATAATCTCCGTTTTACAAAAAACGTGAGAACACCCTTATCTCACGCAAAGGTTGTCCACATATTTGATTTAGTATCAAATGTAATGAATTATAGTATCGCATCAAGAATACCCCTATCACATGTGATAATACACGTGATAAGGCCTAACAGTATACATGTGACTTGGCCCGTAACCTAGGTCGCGTCAAAGGTTGTCCGCTTCACTGTTTTAGTATCGCATATATATTATATGGTATATAATTTAATATCATATGCATATAATTGATTATAATAAAGAGTCCGTCCCACGAACAATATATATATATATATATATATATATGTGTATGTGTGTATATATGTATATGTATATGTGTGTGTAATATATACGCATTTGGTGAAGGATTAAAGAGAAGTAAATACGAGTGAGAAATTGCATGAGATATAAAGTGTGTATATGAAGTGGAGATGGTGGCTGGTGGCATTAAATTGCCATCTCCATGTGGCTTAATCGGAAGTCAAGTTACATGCCACCTCCATTCCTATTTATGTTTGTATATATATGTATTTTTGTATATGTATTTATTACGTGCTATGTTTCTTATGCACTCTTCTTTTAATTTAAAATCCTTTTTGTATAGTTATGAATACATCATTCTACACCTTGTATTTCTTTTTATTTTTCAAACCGAACTACACATACAATTAGAAAATCATAGTGAAGGTTGAGATGACAATACCTTCATTTTAAGAAAACACGGTAACACTTTTATCATGTATGATAAGTTGATGATGATACATGTGAGCTGAAGATATGGTGGTGTGCAAAAGACTTGGCTCACAGCCTAGGTCGCGCTAAATGTCGTCCACGCCTTTAATTTAGTATCACATGTGTATCATATGTGATGATACATGAGAGTAAGCTTAATTAGTAATGTCCGGATGATTTGTCCTGTAAACTAGGTTGTGCCAAAGATCTTCCGCACTCTGGTTTAGAACATCTTCATCAACAAACTGACCAATAAGATTGTGAAAAAAGATAAAAATATTTTTTGGAAAAAATAAAATAAAATGTCAATCTCCTCAACCCGGTTCATGAAACGAACCAAGATTGTTTTTTTTATGAGATTGGCACATGACATTATTATCATTGATTGAATTTTATTTTCTTTTAGAATAAAACTTATTTGATTAAAATGTTACTTTAACAATAAACAAACAAATATATCATAATTCATATTTCTCAATTTCCTACATATAGATTCCCATATTCAATTATATGATAAGTCTTTTATAATTACAATCACGTTTTAAAATACATAATAGTTCGTTTAATCTACTTTTTATATACTTAAAATTAAAAAAAATTATACATGACAAAAATTAAATATATAATGTTTACAAAATAAAATTTTAGGTTTGATATCATTAATGAACGATCAAAAAAATGAAATTGAATTGAAATTGAAGACTGTGTAGGTAGATGAGAGATTAGTAATTTTTAATTGAAATCGAGTTGAATGATATTGTGGTTAAATATAGTCTTAACTCTTAAGCATCGTTTGACAAACATAAGTTAGCTTATCTTTTGGGTACACATCTAGATGGACACAAACTAGTTTATTGAAACGTTAATTAGAATAGTTTATACGGAGTTTTTTTTGTTACTTTTTCTAAATATAACTCCCATTAATGTTGATTATTATTATTAATTATAAATAAATATTAGTTATTAATAATTATTGCTAATATTAATAAATAATAATTAATAATAGTTGAAAACTATTATAATTTTAATTATTTAAAATTATTATTAATCATATCAATTATTTTTATATTGGAAAAAGTCTAAAAAAACCCAATGGACTTTATTGTTTGAAAATGATTAAGTTCTTGGACAATTTTTTGAAAGAAATAAGTCATTGGACATTCTAAAACATGTTAAATAGCTCATTGGATAATTTTTTGAAACAAATAAGTCATTGGACAATTTAAAACATGTTAAATAACTCATTGGATAATTTTTGGAWCAAATAAGTCTTTGGACAATCCAAAACATGTTAAATAACTCTTTGGACTTTTCTAAAACTTGTTGGATATATTCTTATAACTTGTACAACTAGTTAAAGTGGTAAAATAGTAAAAACAGTCCGAAAAAAACCCCAATGAACATTCATATTTTGAACGATTAAGTCCCTAAATATTTTTTTGAACAAAAAAGTATTTAGATCTAT